CACAACGTCAAAAAGTGCAACCACTTGGCTTGGGCATAATCCGCACGTATAAGACTTCTTATAGTCGTTGCGTTGTGGAGAGCTTGCTCATAGCTGTTGACCGCCCGGCAGCCAACTTGCGGCTTTGAGTGTCCCTGTATTTAGCCGTGCAGATGGTGAAGGCTTCGTAGGCGGAGGTAACGGCTACATGTGTGCAAAACCATTTTCACCAGGCTAACTTCGTCAATGTTGGACCCAGCGCCGAGCCTGAAACTTCAGAACAGGGCCACTCTGGCGGTATTTGTGGCGGCGCATCGTCGACTCAATGGGAGGGTGGGACATCTTCCGGGATGATTTCATTATGACAGATCATGGTGCCGTCGCTGCGGAACTGTGCAGGCCTAAGGGCATTATTAATGAAGTGTGCGGTTAGACCGATTTGGAGAAAGTGGATAATGACGATGAAACTTTGGAGCCAGTGCTCCCAAGCAAACCTGTAATAACTGACTAAATTAATAGCCTCAGGCAGCTCCCATATGCAAAGGGCCTCAAAGAAGAGCACGCTGCTGCGCTAAATAAACTCAACACCACTCTAATCGCTTCTGCTTTTCGAAGCACGTGCATGGCGAACTTTTCTGTAAAAAGAAAAAATTTGCATTTTCACTTGCCACAGCTTTAAAGCTGCGTTTAATTTACTAAAAACTTTGGTATACAGTGAACGGATGCAAAGTCACCCTCAGGTTCATTATAAGCAGATTTATGGATTTACCGTATTTACTCGCATAATAGGCGCACCCCTAGTTTGGTCGCGAAAAATTCGATTTTTTTTAATTCCGCGCATAATAGGCGCACCCGAACTTGGCCGTGATCAGAAACGATTCTACCCCCCAGCGGTACAGTTGGAACGCGGTCCCCGCACCCTGAAGAAAAAAAGAAGGCAAATCGACGAGCAAATAAAAAAATTCGAAGTGCAACGACCTAACCAACGTGTTTGTCGAAATAAAACTTGAAAAAAAAAAAAGCGTCCACGAGCGAAAAAAAAAAACGGCTGTTCCATCAATTACTGATACCCCCCAAATCGCCGCGCTTTTTGGAGCTCACGTGTACAATGCCGGGGGCTCGATCGCCATCACCACCATCAGAGAAAAAGAAAGAAACGCCATTTTGCAAGCGGTGTGCGTATGTTGTGGTGTGCGTATGTTCCACAGTTTTGTTATAAAGCTCCGACAGCAGAAAGACTTCATTTTGCCCCAGATCGGCAACGCTGATCAGACCCCCCTTTGCTTTGATATGCCGTGGAACACGACAGTGGAGGAGAAATGTGCACGGAGCGTCATCGTCAGAACCTCTGGCGCTGATAAACAACGATGCACCGTAATGCTGGCGGTGACAGCGAATGAGTGCAAGCTACCGTCTTACGTTATTTTTAAATGTAAGACGCTCCCAAGGGCGAATTTCTTTCAAGGAATCTACGTCAGAGTCGAGGAAAAAGGCTGCATGAGCGCGAAACTCATAGTGGATTGGGTGAAAACAGTCGGTGGTCGGCGGCCAGGTGGTTCGTTGTTCCTGTCGATGCTTGTCGTGAACAGTTTTTGTGGGCACCTGGTAGACCGCGTACGAGATGAGTTAAAGGAGCCGTGCACAGATCTGGCTGTGATTCCGGGCAGCCTCACATCGATATTGGAGCCTTTGGACATGTCCTTGAATAAGCCTTTCAAGGACAATGTTCGAAGGCTATACACCACCTGGATGGCTGGAGGACAACATTAGCTGACTCCAGGTGGTGAGATTAAGAGGCCGCCTGTGGAAATGCTGTGCGCTTGGATCGTGGAAGCGTGGCAGGCGATCTCCGACGAAGTCGTCAGGAAAAGCTTCAAGAAGACGGGTATCTCGAACGCACTGGATGCGAGTGAGGATGACATGTTGTGGGGTGCGGATGATTCGGACACCGAAAACGAATCCCCGCTCGGCGAGGATGAATGTGTGATCTCCGACTCGGACTCCGAATAAGGAAAAGAAGGAACAGCTACGACTTTTGTGTAAATAAATTTTACGTGTGTGTGTGCAGTTGACGGCTCTCGCTTGTGCATTAAAAGGTACGTAGGTATGTTTGTTTTATGCTGAATTAATTGGTAAACGATAAAGTCGCCTTTTACTTGACAAGTGTGCAGATTTAAAGCGCGAGAACCGAGTTGAAAAAATTTTCGAAAATTTTACCCCGCGTAATTGGCGCACCCCCAACTTCGAGCCGGATTTTCTGAAAAAAAAAGTGCGCCTATTATGCGAGTAAATACGGTATACATGACGTTTGAAGTCCCAAAACCACCACATGATTATGAAAGACGCCCTAGTGGAGGGCTCCAAAAATTTCAACCACCTGGGGTTCTTCAACATGCACTGAAATATGAGCACATGGGCCTACAGCATTTTCACCTCTATAAAAAATGCAGTTGCCGCAGCCGGCATTTGATCCCGCGACCTGCAGGTCAGCAGCAGAATACCTTAGCTACTAGACCACCACGAAGGGGCTTCCTTACAAGAGGGCTCAACTAGTAACACAAGTTTTTCCATAAATGTGTGCCGCCTTGTATTTTATTTATATGTTTATAAATACAGAAAATTTTTTATGTGCATATATTATGTGTGTGTGTGTGTGTGTGTGTATATATATATAGTTATAAACTTCGAGAATAGTGCAGTATAGGAAACAAAACAATAAAATATTTATTTAATCCTAACAGTTTTGGCTGGTGGACCAGCCTTCTTTGGAGGATGTAAGTGAAATGGTACAAGTTCCCGTAGCAGAGGGTCACCCTCACAGTTTGAAGACCCTCAAAAAAAAAAAACGAGACAAACGGGCGAACGAGGTAGCAACAGACAACAAGAATCAGAAGAAGGAGAGGAACTAGAAAGGAGCGACAGAGAGCCGCCGGGAACGAGCGGGTAATTCTGGCATTGTTACTGGGTATAGGTAAGACGCGCCACCAGCGGAGGAGACCAAGAAAAACGGAAAAATGTGGAGCATGTTGCCGCTTACTCGCATCCCACACATGGATCGAGTTTAAGTTCACGTGGTTCGGCGGCTGGCCCGCGGCATCGGGCCACACACACACACACACAAGAAGCATACGACCCGGTCCAGCTTTCGGAAAATAATGGCCACGTTGGAAAGCTAATGTGCCCTCTCCCCCTCCCTCCACCTGCCCTCTCATGCAGAAAACTGTATTAACCAGTCATACTGAAAATAAATGAATGGGTATTCTTGTAAAGGATGAACAAACAAAAACGTAAACAAAAAAATATAAAAATTAAATAATACTAAAAAAGTACTCAGAAATGAAAATAAAGTCTAATAATACTAACACACGCCGTTTGGATCACGTAGCATCGAATTCGTTTAGTTTCATGCACTATATTGACCAACTTACGTGTGCGACTTAACGTATGTATAAATAAATTGAGTAATATATATATATATATATATATATATACACAGTCAAACCTCAATATATCGAACACGGATATATCGAATTATTGCCTATATCAAACGGTTCCTATATCACGCGAAAAATCGCATGCATTATTGATTTTTTATTTCGAACAAAGTTTGACATATAATGGATATATCGAACACAGCCACCCCAAACCGCACGCGCTCCATTGACAGGCGGCGAGCTTTCCCGCAACTCTCGAAAGTAGCGGTAGAGCGGCGGGCGTTTACGAATGCTGCACACACCGATGGCGCCGAGAGCGCCACTTTAACGTAGCGGTGTACGCGCGCCGCAGCCTTGCAGTCGTTGCAGTCTATGGTGTCAACGGCACACTGCGCACTTGTTGCCTCCCCCGTAGCATCGGCAGGCATCGGTCGTTGTGCTCGCAGTGTTCGTGCGTTCGGAGTTAGGCCTGTCGCGCGCTATGGTGCGCGACAGGCCTAACTCTGAACGGCGGAGCTCACGGACGTGGAGATTGTCGCCGAAGCTACCGCTGAGCAGCCAAATGAAGACTCTGCCGAGGTGGATCCCGCAAGCGCTGATGGTGCCCCGCTCCCGACATCAGCTAAGGTCGTAGCTGCCTTAGCCCTTGTGCGCCGCCACTGCGGCGCGATTGAAGGCACCGGCCTATCACTTATCACTATCACTTATCACTTTTTTTTTTACTCCCCCCCCCCCCCCCCCCCCCCCCCCCTTGCTTTCGCCTTCCTGTTCACAGCCGATGCAATGGTCCCCAAGCCACAGGAGTCTCAAGATCTCGCATTGCATTGTACTCGTTTGTGTTTGGCCAGAGAACAGCAGAACGCTGGGAGAAGACAAAAAAAATGCAAGAGCTTGCGAGCTTCAGTAAAAAAAAACTCCTGCCCACTTTTTCTTTCTTTTTTACTAGTCTATTTTTTACTTGTCTGCCTCCCCCTCTCCTTTGTGCCAGGAAGTTCCTCATTTTTTTCCTTTTTTTCTTGGTAGCCTGAATGCACAACCAAGACTGCCATATTTGGGGCGCAGAACCGCCAGCATGTACAGTCAGTGCAGAAGTTCTTAACAGAACAGTATGAGTGAGGCAGTGCATCATAAGCAGAGTTTTTAAATTTATTTAGTTTTTTTTTTTTTCGCATAGAGGCAATGTAAAACCAAACGCTCTCATCTTATTCATCATGTGTGAAAAGTCATGCTAACCGAGTTCATCTTAATGAGAGTTTACAGTAGAAGATATGTGCAAATTTGAGTTGAAGTTATTACTATTTTAAAGAACTATGCATAATGAGAACAAATATTATATGGTCCCCTTTGAACCACATGGGTGTAAGGCTCATCCAGTACCTCTAGCTAGGGCAATATGAAGAAACGTACAGCTCATAAAAGAGAAAAATGCAATGCAAAATGGCAGGGAGGTTAACCAGAACATAAATATATGGTTTGCTATCCTGCATTAGGGAAGGGGGATACAGGAAAGTAAGGACAAAAGAAAGGAACAGAGGTAAGCAGAAACAGAAACAGACAGGAGTGTGGGTTTAAAAAAGTGCAACTTACTTCAAACTGAGAGTCCCTGGACGCACGACTCAGAGTACGAAACTCAAGCTGCAGCGTGGCTACCTCCGAAACACTGCTGTCCGGAGCCCAAACAGGGGCATGCGCCACTCCGGAGGCAAGGTTCACGTCTGAGTAGGGCACCCCCGATGTCGACCGGAACCCAGGTAGCAAACGGTGCCCAAGTTCTAGCTGCACAATATAGCAATGATTCATGTGAAAGGTTTGAAATTAGAGCAACTAGCTGTGCCATGTACATAGCGTCTGGCTTAACGTAAACCACAATTTGTGGGTGGAGGAGGATAATGGTACATATAAGGGACTCAAATAAATACAATTTAGAACAGCGGTTCTCAGCCATAGATGTGTCGGGAACCCCTTGTGGACTGGTGAAAGTGATGAGGGGACCCCTTGCAGCAAATGGGAGGGGGAGGTACGTAGATAAATTAACACAACTTTAGCGCGAAACAGGTGCCTTTTATTGCTACCAAAAACATCAAAGATGCCACATCACTACATTTTGGACAGTTCATCAATACGTGGCACAGTCACGCTTAAAAAAAATGCGGGTGAGGGTTTCGCCGATCACAGAAATGGCTTTGTGGACCCCCATTTAGGAACCACTGATTTAGAGTGTGAATACCGAAATATATGAATGCAGTTTCAGTTTTCATCCATATATTACTGAATTTTTTTAATATCAGAGAAAAAAAAAGCAGGGCACCCACGCGGTGCTGATATGTGTTGAGCTGTGCAAGCCTGGCACAACGGGGGGTGCCGTTTTGGAAACAATAAAAACAGTTCGTTCTGGGCAAAGGCCTCAACATGTTCTCATGTTCTTCGCGGGCCTGATGGGCCTACTGTTCATGGTAGTCACTACCGCCTGGCCATCCGTTAATCTACACATGTAACACAAGAACTGCAGATTGTCTGCGACGACCAGGAATTCGGACTCGCCGTGAAGTTGCGTTTTGTGTGTTCGGCCTGTGGGGAGACTGCGTCGTTGTGGAGCTCGCCGCGCGTACGTAGCGATGAATGCATGAAACCTTTTGCTGTGAACGTTCTGGTCGCGCATGCCATGCAGGCAACGGGGAACGGACAGGCCGCGCTGAATGATGTGTTCTCGTTGATGGGCATCAGCCGTCGGGGTCTTCACATGAAAACGTGGCAACACTACGTGAAGACGAAGTTGGCACCCGCGGCCGATCTAGCTGCACGCAATTGGACGAGCGACTGCGCGCGCTCGGTTCACGAACTTTACGCAGAACTTAATATAGGCCACATGGGAAACATCGTGGTGTCGTTTGATGGGTCATGGATGACTCGCAGTCATTCGTCGCATATTGGTCTCGACACCCTCATAGAATTGTTCAGCTGGCTGGTGCTTGACTTCGTTTTCTTGAGCAACTTTTAAGCTGGATGCGAGTTGGCCCCAAAGGAAGGTGACCCTTCTTATGCAGCGTGGAAGGATCATCACCAGTGTCAGAAAAGCAGTGACAAGAAGGCTCGGGAAATGAAGGTTGAGGCTGCCCTCATCCTTCTCAGGAGGTCACTTGAGTGGCACAACCTGTGCTACACCACGGTGCTTTGCGACGGGGACAGCTGCAGTTACCTTGCATTACAAGAAGATAAGGTTTATGGGTATATCCCAGTGGAAAAAGAGGACTGCATTGATCATGTCCAAAGGTCTATGGGCACTGCTTTGCGCAACTTGATTGCAAAACACAAAGGCCCTGGTCTTGAGGAAAAGGGCCGCCTTGGGGGGAAAGGGCCGCTTGACAGGAGACCTGATCTCCAAGCTCCCCAATTATTATGGGTGGGCTCTGAAGACACACAGTGGCGATGTTGATACTATGCACACAGCAGTGATGGCCACTTATCACATCACATCCAATGATGATGTGGCAAACCACACTCTGTGCCCAACCTGGTCCTAATTCCTGGTGCAAACAAAATGCGGCAAAGGCCAAGGGGGAGCCCATTCCCAAACATTGTCGAAAGCTGCCTCCACATGTCTGCCAAGCCTTACTTTCCATTTATGAGCACTCGTCAGGCAGAAAGCTGTTGCAACGATGCCAGAGAAGGAAAACCGAAAATAACAACGAATGCCTGCATTCAATGATCTGGGCGCTGGCACCAAAGGAGTGACATGCTCCGCTATTCACGGTGGAGGCAGTTGTGGCAGAAGCAGTGCTCAAAATCAATGCAGGCAATAAAAAGGCATCAGAGGACATTATGAAAGAGCTGAGCCTAAACCCCAGCTGGCAAAGCCGCAGCTGCATGGCTGAAAAGGATCGACGGCGCACGGCAGCATCAGTCAAGAAGCGACAAGCAACGGAGAGAAAACATGCACCAGTCCCTGAAAAAGCGCCACACAGGGACTCATAGTCAAAAGGACTACATGCCCGGTGCATACTGAGCATTTTCAAGTGCAGTTATGTAAATGAACGAGTTTTATTTCCTTTTCTCAGTTTTCTGAAAATGTGCTTTTTGGTGACTTTACTAGTTTGTCGGGTTGATATCTTGCAATCTAGAACAGCTAGAGCAATAATTTTTTCATTAATGTAAAGCCCAATCTGTGTATTACAAAGTGTTGAGAGCACAATTTTCGTTTGCTGCCCATATAAATTTCTTTGCGATAGCCATGACATGACTCCAACTTTTATCATCTGCAGAATCACTAGTTTTTCTTTAATTTGAAATCTGCTTGCAGCATTGCACTTTTTGCTAATTGCACTGTCTAGCTTTGCAATAATATTCACTTTTTGATAAGCACTTTCTTTTCTATTGTCTCCAAAAACAATAGAGTGGCAGCATTGTGTATCTTCTAAATTAATTGAGCCAATTTTTACATATTTGAAATCAGCAGGAGAAACTACATAAGCATGTGTATTTTTATCATGTTTGGTACACAAATACAGAAATTATCACCACACACCATGTCCCCCTTTAAAGGGAGATGCGGATCGAAAAACCGTGATTTTTTTTCGAAAAAGTCGATTTTGTGTTTTCTTGCGTTTTGTATTTCTCCAAGCCTTCTCCTTAATATATTAAAAAATTAAAGCTGAGAATCAGCTAGAAGTTATCGAAAAATACAATTAAAGCACTCGCGGTGGCTCGTGAAAGTGCGAAGTTACCCAATTTTCATGCACGCGGCACTTCGCTCTACGCCATCGCCGGTTCTTGAAATTTTGCGGGCATGTAGGCCTAACCCTCTTCTCCCAGAGCACGCTTTGGCAAAGCGGCATTCATGCTAAAAATACAACAAAAAATCGTTTTCCCACAGTATTCTAGCGTGGCCACTGGGCCTTCGAAGTCGCGTGGTATGATCGGAGCTCTGTCATTGGTTGCGAGCATTCCGCCGTGCAGTCGGATGCGAGCGCTTTCTTCGTTCTCCTGCTTTCGCCAAGACATCGACGAACACAACCGCCGGAGTTATTATTTCCGTGCCATGGATGCCGGCGAGAAACGCTACTTTCGTTCACGGAAGTTCATTACGCGGCACCAGTACGAGGGAAGGCACCCCAAACACAAACAGTGAGCGCCGGCGAGAGGTCCGTCTGCTGCTAGGCCTAGCCGCGGCAGCAGCGACACACCAGATTTGGATTGTTCGAGCTTTATTCCTACCGTCGATGACTTCGTCAGCGCTTCAGAGGGAAAGATAAAGATGTTTGACGACTAAAGCAAGTGTCAGGACGAACGCGGAAGCACATTTATTTGTGACCGATGCGATGCAGAACCTCGTCAGTGGCGTAGTATGCTCCAACTGCGGGCGGTGCGAGCTGTCCATTTGAGTAATGGCAAGTAGACGATAAGGACAGGCATCGCTTTCAGATCTTTAGCGCTGAAATGACGCATGTGCTGCAACTGTTGTTTCGTCCACGTATGCGTCAAGCCGCGTGTATCAGTCATGCAGTGGAAGCGAGGAGACGTCCGCCAGCGGCAGTGCACGGGACAACTTCGCTGTGAGCGTGAAGTCAGTGGTCGCACCGCGTGCGATCGGCATCGGACACGAGCAGCTTGTGCGGGTTTCGTGCAATCATTGGTGTTAAAAAACCGGTGCGTCACAAGAACTGCTATTAACAAAAAAAAAAGTGCATACCACCGCCGAAACATCGAATGAGCCCGAGAGCAACGGCCCGTCGCCGCAGTACCGAAAAAAAAAAAAAAAAAAAGAATGCTCGTCGGGAGGAGACAGCTTGCAGAGACTGTAAGGGTCTAATATATAGTGCTGGGTTATTCTGAAACTGTCAACTTTTCAAGATAGCTTTGCTGACAATCTCTGTGAATTTCATTCAGATTGGTTGAACAGTATAGTATTAAACATGTTTTTGAACTTTCAAACTGCTTTTTCTCAGTTCCTCATTTTTCAGCGTTTTTAGAGATTGTGCACTATCATTTGTACGTTTTACATAGTTGGATTGCAATGAAACTTGGCATACTTAAAGTTTACCATGTCCTGAATTCAAATAAACAACTTTCAGAGGTCTCCAAAGCATATTCACCTGGATAATTTCCGAAGCTTGTTCTTTGAGTATGCTAAAACTCAAATTCGGCATTAGAATTTTCTTCTAGGCCAGCACACAAATGTTACACAATGTTTCTTTGCTTTATTGAATTCTGCAATTCATTAGGAGCAACATTGGCTATTTTATAGAGCTTCCTTGTGCTTACTATTGTTGCCTAAGCTTGCACAAGAATGCATTGTTTTTACAAATGCATGGTCTGCAAAAAATTAAGTGAGCCATTAAAAAAAAGCACATTTGAAAAAAGGAGCTCCAACTCTATAACTGGTGAAAGTTTCATTGAGCTGTCACAAATATCTGAAGAAAGAGTTTTTCGAGGAGCATCTCCCCTTAAGAAGGCTATAGTTAGTGTGTGTGTGCTTGTACGTGAATGTGAGTGCATGTGTACCTGCGCGTAGGCATGTGTGCGGGCGTGTGCGGTTATCGCTGTCGTGTTTTGGTTGCTGAGTAAAATGAACAAAGAACTTCGTCATAAAACTTTCAGCTAATGTATCACGAAACTTGCACACGTTTTATTAAAAACCTAAATCGGCATGCTACCCTTGGCAGCTGTTAGTGCCACACAGAGTCCACTTCAGCCTCTGGTAGTGTACACAGCAAGGTATGGTGGGAAGAACTTTATTGGGTTTCGAAGGTCGACTCTGTGTTAACCCATACCACACCCAT